GATGAGGTCTCGCTGCCCAGGCGGGTCTCGAACCCGCGGGCTCAGGCAATCTACTCACCTCAGCCTCCCAAAGGCGCGGGATTACAGGCTGAGCCACCGAGCCCGGCTGAGAAACTTTTTTAAAGCACCTCAGGGAAGGGGCCGGCTTTCCTGCTCCACCAGGCGGCTCCGACTGCCTCCCTCTCGCTCGGATTGGTTCAGCATGAACTCGAAACTGGACCTGCGAGCCAATTCCAGCCTCCAGCGACTGCTGAGCGAGGCGCCCGTGGGGGGGAGACTCGGCCCGCCCGGGGCTGCGGGTGCAGGTGCAGGTCCCGGGAGTCGCCGCGCCGGGATGTGGAGTCTCCTGCGCGAGGCGGACTCCGCCGTGCTCTCCGGGCGCCGGCCGCGCTGGCTCTGCGCGGGGGCCCTGGCGCTGGCGGGCGGCCTCTTCGTCCTCGGCTTCCTCCTAGGTAGGGGCGATTAGCCCCGGGCTCGGTGGCAGAGTGGGGCCTGCCGCGGGTCCCGCAGGGGCGCGATTCGGGCGGGAGGGTTGCTGGGAGCGGTGCAGCAATAGGCAAGCGGCTCGTAGGAGTCACCCAGCTCCCCGCGGAGACCCGAGAGGACCTGAAACCCGGGAACGAGCCCCCGAGGAGGGCGGTGTCGGGACGCGCGGCGCAGCTCGGGAGCCGCGGCACAGGTGACTCGGGTGCCCGGGTGGCCCGGGAGCGTTCCACCTAGCGGCTCTCACTCCGGGCTTTTTGTTTCTGTTTTTTTAATTTTGAAATGTGGGGTATAATTCCGGATTAGGTATACAAAAGTTCATTATGCAGGTACCCTTTGGGGTTTTTATCTAGTCTTACACGGGCAGCTGCAGGCGGTTGCTGCAGGGGAGGTTTTCACATTCTGACTTTGGAGACCAAGAGGCACCTTTGGGGCTGGTGAATTACTGTCAGCGCTCCAGCAGGTCTCCAGCAGGTCTTTTGCTTTCTTTCCTGGGCACCGATTTGGTGACTTAACCCAACTTTCCGAGAAAGCTAGAACCGCACAGATGAGCTCATACTCTTACATTCCAATTCTGACTGTGCCAGAGGATTGCCTGAGCCCTTAGTGGCCTTGAACGAGTTACCGAGTCTCTTAGCCATAGCTCCCCTAGTTTTATGATGAGGACAATATTATCTGCAACTTCTTGGTAATAGTCCATGAAATCGCGTGTGAATATGACGTTTTTTGGTTTTGTTTTGGCATTTTATTAGTCTTGATGAGGAGATGCTCCTACTTGGATTTCAGTGCACAGGACTAGCCTAAGGTATCGCCAGGTAGTCCACCCTGATCCCATCCCTCGCTGGGATTTGGAAGTTTAGGACACGTACCAGCTGGGTTTACTCAAATTCAGTCTCTTCTATGAGAATGCAGTGTGAGCTTGGGGTTGTTAAGACTTTTGAGCCACACACACTGCGTCATGATTCACATGGGGTTATTCATAACCACGAGGGTTGTTGGGGGCTCAAATGAACTAAGAGCTGAATAAAGAAACATCTCAAATTGAGTTTTCATTTTCTCAACTGCAAAAAGGTCAATTAGAACTGGCAAGGTCAGCACTGGAAATTAAAGTCAAAGTCTTCATCTTTTAAAGGCATTTTAGTCTTTCTGATACTGTCAGCATCCCATCCTGGTATTCACTGCTCGGTGGCAGACACCAAATAGGGTCTTTACTCATGTCTTTTCTTCCCTAGAACGTAAGCATCTCTTCCACAGTGTGTCCATCCTGATCACACAATCTAGTGCAAGTTCTTTTATTCTATGCACAGGTGGACTCATTTCCCTTTATGTTAAATCATGGGTTTTAATATGCATGTTATAGGTAATTGCCTTTGTATGTATGTGATTAATACTTAATAAGCTCCATGAAAGCTGGCTGGGTGCTGATTTTGTGACACTTTCATTCCCAGATCCTGTAATTTCTCTAAAGATACTCCTAAATGTTGCTCTCTCTCTCTCAGATTAAAGACCCACTTCAGGGGCGAGTGACTACATAATCTGTCTCTCTATATCCTCTGGCTGCCTGTGGGTACACTGGATGTCTGGCAGAGATGATGGGTAAATTGTAGTCTCACAGTAGCTTTCTAAACTTGAATTTCTCAAGTCCACTTTAACTGGAAACACAAACTCAATACATTTCATTCTAGTTTCAGAACCAGAGCAAATTAGAAGTCTGAATTTCTTCCAACACTTTGATAAGTTCTGTGCTTGAAATATATTCATGTTTAATTCATTATGAACATGTATTAAATGCTTATCCTGAGTCAGCAGAGGAGCAGTCACTGAAGATAGAAGTATTATGGAGAAAGGAGATACATCTCCTTTTGCAAACGTTTTCAAAATAAATGTTTATTCCCTTGAAATATTAGTATTATAGTTAATTTTAGTGCTAATTCCTCATAAACTTTTTTTAAAAATATAGGCCAGGAGTGGTGGCTCAAGTCTGTCATCCCAGCATTTTGGGAGACCAAAGTGAGAAGACTGCCTGAGCTCAGGGATTCGAGACCAGCCTGGGCAACTTAGTGAGACCTTGTGGCAACAATAAATTAAAACATAAGCTAGGTGCACATGCCTGTAGTTCCAGCTACTTGGAAGGCTGAGGCCAACAGGTCAAGGTTGTGGTGGCCGTGAATGTGCCACTGCACTCCAGTCTGGGCGACAGAGTGAGACTCTAGCTAAATAAATAAATAAAACAGCAACACCTATCATTGAAGTTGGGTAGAAAATATGTTGCAATTGATTTATAATTTTAAAATCTGTTTGAATGTTTTTTTTCTAGTGGAAGTAGGCAAGAGAAATTAAATTTCAAAAATCTCACCTAATGCCAGAGATCATTGATAATTTGTGTTTTATCTATGATATATATACAACAATAAACAAAAAGTAAGTCATGTCTATAAACTCATATCTCATTCCTTTTTTTGGATGTATCTTTCAGGCTGGTTTATAAAATCCTCCAATGAAGCTACTGACATCATTCCACAGCATAGCATGAAGAAGGCTTTTTTGGATGAATTGAAAGCTGAGAACATCAAGAAGTTCTTATAGTAAGCATATACTTGAAAATGTGTGTGAACAATTAGTTGGAAAAATTTATCACTCTGTTTAGAAGTTTTGATCCCACATTTTATATATAGGAATTGTCTTATTTTGTTTTATTTATTGAAATTCTTGTATCAGGCCAGGTGCAGTGGCTCATACCTATAATCCCAGTACTTTGGGAGACTGAGGTGAGAGAGGATTGCTTGAGCTCGGGGGTTCAAGACCAGCCTGGGAAACTTGGTGAGACCTCATCTCTACAATAAATCAAAAAATTAGCCGGGCATGGTGGAGCATGCCTGCAGTTCCAGCTACTTGGAAGACTGAGACAGAAGGATCGCCTGAGCCCAGTAGGTTGAGGCTGCGGTGGCCGTGACCATACCACTGCACTCTAGCCTGGGTGACAGAGTGAGACTCCAACTGAAATTAATTAATTAATTAATTAACTATTGTATCACATTTCATCTGGGGAGGATTATACTCTCAGCTGAACTTTATCATTACAGAGGTTTTAGAGCAGGAGTTAGCAAACTTTTCCTAAGAAAAGACCAGTCTTTGTAGACCGGCTGATCTCTCGGTCCTGTCATAACTATTCAGCTCTGTTATTGTAACACATTGTTACAGAAAATATATAAGTAAGTGTGTCAGTTCTGATAAAGCTTTATTTATGAACACTGAAATTTGAATTGCATATAATTGATATGTCATAACATATCTATATCTATATCTATCTATCTATATATATATAGTTTAACTCACTTAAATTGTGAAAAAATTCTTAGCTTGTGAACTGTAAAAACTCAGGCAGTGGGCCAGATTTGACCAGTGGAACTTGGTTTGCTGACTCATGCTTTAGAGGGAGAAAGTGTATTTTAATTTTAAAAAAAAAGATTGTACTTTGGAGTCAGACAGAATTAAGTTTGAATTCCATCTTTGCCCATTAATAGTAAAGTAACTTTAGGTGAATACTTAACCTTCCTAAGCCCTCATTTCCATATCTGTAAAATGAAGATAATGACATTATTGTGATGTGGATGGGACTGAAGAACTTCTATTTGACTTGGTTTAAAAATCAGCTCTCTAATTCCTGAAATAGATCTCCAGTGTAGATAAATGAGAACATTTTAAAAGTATGTACAAAGCAACTAAAAATAAAATACTTGTATAGAAGTACTATATGTAATTGATAAAAACACTTAGGTTTTTTTTAAAAGCAAGAAGTCCGTTTTTTTACAAGTTGGCTTAGTACATGTATCCAAAAATAATTGAGGTCCCTCTAATGATTGAAGAATTCCTTGGTGAATACAAGCTGTAATTTTAAATAAAGACCATTGTATGTGTGTGTATATATATATGTGTGTGTGTGTGTGTGTGTGTGTGTGTGTGTGTGCATGTGTGTGTATATATGTAGGTATGTATATATGTGCATACACATAATCATACAAACATATTTTTATATTAATTACAATAGAATTTATAAACTTAAATAAAAACTGGGTAGGACATCTCTCAGGTCTTTGGAAGGGTCCATTTAAGTGAGAGACCCTGGAAACTTAAACTTCTGTATCTCTGTGGAAACCCTTGCTCTGCTTCTTTTACTGATTCCTCTACAATCATGTATATTCATTGTAATAAAAGTAGAGGTCTGACAAGATGTGGTTGTTACTCCTAGACAGAGCTGCTGCTCCTGCTTCCTTCTTCCTTTCTTAACTAGTGACATGGAGGGACTAACAAAGAAGAAGGAGTCCCTTTTTAAATTTCTCTTTCTGGACCCTCAAGCAAGATCTAAGCAGTCAACTTCTTGTTTATTCTCTGTGGCCCTAATGCAGCTCCCCTAACTGTTCAGAACTCAGGAATGCTCACTAGTAACACACAAAACAAAGAGATTAAGAGAACCCCTGCTCACTCCTCCAAGGATCATAGAATCTCCAGAAGCCTCTGGGTCTCTCCAGATTTCAAATTTGCCATTTTTCTATCGGAGAGCTTCCAATTAAAATATTTCTGACTGGGCACGGTGGCTCATACCTGTAACCCCAGCACTTTGAGAGGCAAAGGGTCTCCCAAAGATTGCTTGAGCTGAGGAGTTCAAGACAAGCCTGGACAACATAGTGAGAGCTTATCTCTAAAAAAAATAAAAATAAATTAAAGAAAAAAATTAGCCAGGCATGGTGGCACGTGCCTGTAGTCCCAGCTACTCAGGAGTTTGAGGTGAGAGGACTGTCTGAGCTCAGAAGTTTGAGGCTGCAGCGAGCGGTGATCCACTCCAGCCTGACACAGAGTGAGACTCTGACTCAAAGAAAAAAAATACATAAATACACTCATACACACACACACACACACACACACACACACACACACAAACGGGTCAGGGGCCTTTAAAGCCTTCTGTCTTATCCCCCTTTATAACTCTTTGTTCTACTCTTAAAGCTGCCCATTGCTTCTAAAGTGTCTGCCTCAATAAATAGGGGGATTGATGATTAGGAGCAGTGCAGTGTCTTCATTCTGCTTAGGGGTACAGCATTGCCTTGTATTTTCCCTTCTGTTTTTTTAACAGCTGATTAAATTTACAGATCTGTTCACCATTTTGCATCTCGCCAGGGGGACTTTTCTTCTCCACCCTCTTTTGAAAGATAAGATTGTTTTAGAAGAGTTTTAGACGTTTGTCTCAGAATTTGACTAGTCTTTATTTGAATACCAGCTCCGCATTTTACTAGCTGCCTTTAAGTCATCTAACACCATAAGACACTGACACATAATTTGTAGACAAGATGAAATGTATTACAACAGAAAAACCAATAACTCCCTTTTAGAATTGAGATAGTGCGACAATACTTGGAACATATTTCAACTAGCCCGACAGAGATATATGAACAGATTTTTACTATTTGAGAAAATTTGTAAATTATTATTCTTTCTGTTTTTCACAAAATTTGATATTTAGTAGGCTCAACAGATTACTTGTGACACACATCTTAAGCTATTAAAACAAAAAAAATTAAGAAGTGCTGTTCAATATTGATCTCACAAAGTAGTGAGAGGTATGATAGTCTCTCCATGAACGAATGAGAAATTCAAGACATGACTAGGATCATACATGAAGTTAGTGGCAATACTTGTAATATACTATTTGTATGATTTATGCTAATTAATGTATTTAGCATTTGAAATGGATTTTTTTTTCAAAATCCATTTTGGGGCCGGGTGCAGTGGCTCACACCTATAATCCTAACACTTTGGGAGGCCAAGGTGAGAGGATTGCCTGAGCCCACAGGTCAGAGACCAGCCTGGGCAACTTGGCAAGACCTCATCTCTACAATTAAAAAAAAAAAATTATCTGGGTATGGTGGCACATTCCTGTAGCTCCAGCTACATGGAAGGCTGAGGCAGAAGGATTACCTGAGCCCAGTAGGTCGAGGCTGTGGTGGCCATGAGCATGCCACTGCACTCCAGCCTGGGCCACGGAGTGAGACTCCAACTCAAAAAAACCCACAAAGTCTGTTTTATTCTAAATGGGTGGGTTTTAACCCTCATAATAGCACAGTGTTGTCTTTCAGTTTGAAGTAACAAAACTGTTACATGAAATTGCACTTATAGTAAAAAAGTCTGATAATGGTCCTCTCCCCATCTTTTTTGAGCAGATGCAAGATTCTCCATAGCAACTATTCTTGCATGTAGGGACAGAGTTACAGCTGGCACCTCAGAAGATCTGCATAGTCTGCATCCTACTGTAGTTATCTTGCAGTTTGTGATCTGTGTAATATAGAAGAAAATAGCAATACGTTAGCTATTTTATTGTTTTCTTTTTTTGTGCAGGTATACATTGATGAGGAATGTATAAAGATGCCCTAGCTGTCTCTTAAATTTGAGTTATTTTTATTACCATATTTTACAGATACACATCGGAAATCTTATTAAAGGTGTTATACCCATAAACATTTACCAAATCAGGATTTTATACTATGTTTATAAGCATAGGCCAGGCACGGTGGTTCATGCCTATAATACCAGCACTTTGGGAGGCTGAAGCAGGTGGATTGCTTGAGCCCAGGAGTTCGAGACCAGCCTGGGCAATATAGTGAAACCTCATTTCTGCAAAAAGTAAAAAAAAAAAAAAAAA